TTAATAAATTAAATTAATATTAATATTTATTTTTTAATAAAAATTAATTATAAAAAATATATTTTCTATATTTGTATTTTAAATTTAAGATAAAAAATCATTAATATTATAATTATAATTATTTTTTTTATTGATTGTATAATGAAATATAACCTCTTCCATCCCTTTTTCTATCTTATTATACATTATGCGATCCAAATTAAGAAAATTTTACTTTGATGAAAAGAAATTATTATTAAATTATTTAAATTATTAGTTATAATTATAATATTTTTAAATAAAAAATAATAAAAATTTAATATTTATTTTAATAAACTCCATCTCGGCTCCGAAGCTGACACTGACACCGGCCACACTGGCATGGCAAAAGGTCGGGAAGATTGGTCGTAGCCCACCATACTAACCTTTTTTTTTGTGCGTAGGCCTGTAGATTTTTGACACGTACGCAATATTCTTGCCAGATAGGATTCGGATGTTTTTGATGGTGCGCAATGCGCACGTTGTGCTGGTTAGGGAGTTGGGGTGTGTATAGGCACTGAATTACTGCGGTAATTTTTTTTTTTGGTGGATAAAAAAAAAAGTGGTGCGTCAAATCAATTTTTCCCGCGAAGTGACACATTGCCAGCCACACTCCGCCATGGACGGCGACGTGGACATCCACACCGCCCCCACCACTCCCCGCCAGGACCTCCCCTTTTTACCTTTAACTATACATAGTAATTTTTTCATTTTTAAACTCTTCATACTCTTTTCTTTTATCTGTTTTAAAATAATTTTTTTTAATTTTTTAAAATTATTTATAATATCTTTAAAAAATAAAAAAATAAAAATTTTAATTATTTAATAATTTATTAAAATAAATAAATAATAATAAAATTTAAAATATAAAATATTTATTTATTTTAAAAAATAAAAATAACATAATTAATTTAAAATTAATAATTATTTTGAGACAATGATATTAGTAAAGTTCAAATTTAATATTTTTAATAAAAATTTTCAAATTATTAATTATCAAGACATTTATTACATTCTTCACTTTTCTCTCCAATAAAACTTTATATTTTTTTGTACTTGAATCTCACATTCCAACAATTATAAATCAATTTATAAGGTGCATCTCTCAACCTTTGAACTAAGATTCGAAGCTTCTCTCACTTCTAATTTATAACCATGTTTAAAAAAAAAAAACTTTACATATTTTCAATCTTACTTTATACAAGTGAATGTAATAAATCATGAATGTAAACTTAAAACTAGTGGAATTACAAAAGAAAATTGTACAAATTATTAACTTGAGGGCAAGTAGATGAATTTAGCTCTCAAGTATTTGTATCAAAAAAAGGGTACCAATTATTTGGTGATGATAATTGATAATTCATAATTGGATGCCCCCCAAGCTAAAAAAGTCTTCTCTCCTATATCTCAAAAGCAACTCCCAACATTTGCCACTTTCAACAAACGTGTCAAACTCCACCACCCATACAATCGTACCTTGTTTTGTTGGTATTTTGCGAAATTTTCCTCAAACAAAAGTATTGTCACCCCCCCCAGGATCTTTCATTTTCGTCCCTTTTTCCCATGTTAAAACAGAAAAGATTTCTCCTTCCTCGTTTGCCTGCATCTTTCACCCAAAAGATTACTGTGTCAGCTATTCGTGCTCGTTTGGATCTCACTGTCATTTTCCATATCCTTATTTAGTTTTACACAATTCCCTAGTTTTTCCCCTAGAGCTAGAGAGACTCGTCATTTAACCCCCACCCCAAAAAAAAAAAAAAAGTACTGCAAAATCTTACCGCAATTAATGATTTCATGACTTGTCCCTTTCGCCTTGAAACATGTTTAAATCCTTTATTGCCCTCGTACTGAAAGGTACTAAGCATTAAAAAGAGAGGGCAATATGGTCATTTGATCAACAGAAGTTTTAGACGTCTTTGATTAATCCAAGTGTGATTGAGTATAATCGCTATCATTTGTTAACATTACTAAATTTAATTTAATTTAATTATTAAATATAATTAATATTTATTATTTAATATATTAAATAATTAATATTTTAAATATTATAATAAAAATTTAAAATTATTATAAATAAATAAAATATTAATTAAATTATATCATTTTTAAATAATTTTAATAAAATAATAAATTACCATAATAACATAGTTTAACCATCACCACCTTAACGAACTAGTGGCCTGGTGGTAGGACACTGGTGCGAAACGTAGCTAAATGATTGGGTACTTAATTTACTTTATTCACGAAATTGCCATTAACTTAACGTGCGCGGTGGTCGCACTTCTATCTCTTTTCGTTTTAGGGCAGTGTTTGGCTGAAATGCTGTATCGATGATTCAAAGCCACGTGATTGTTTCAGCTTTGGTCAGAGAAAAACCTCTTGGCGGTATGCGAGTAATTTCCGGTTACTGACTTTTGTTTGTAAATATTTTTAAGAATTTATGTTTAACAGTTTAATTGTATATTAAAAATATATTTTTTTATAAATTTGTTAAAATAAATTTAATAAAATAATTAAAATATTTTAATATATAATTTAGTTCATAAAATATAACATTGATACTTCAAAATAAAATTTATATTATTTAATTTGATAGTTAGAAATAAATTAATTCAATTAATTTAGTGATTTATAAAATGAAAACTTCCATCAAACAATAGTAGATGAAATTTTAAGATAATAAATAATTTTTTAAATTATTTTTATTTTATAATTTAATACAATTTAAATTATTAATTTGATACTTCCCTTTATATAATTATATTTATTAGTTTATATTGCTTTTTGGCCAGATATTAGTTGATACTGTTGATAGTAAATATCTAGTTGACATATTTTTCTAATGTTATTAGTTATATGTAGTTTATTGTTATTATTATTATTATTATTATCCATTACCAAGTTAATAGGATTAGTATTTATTTATTTTATCTCTTAAAGATTAAAAAATTATTATAAAATTACATTATTTTAATAAAATATCATAAAAAAATTAAAAATACTCTAATTTATATTTTAAAAATAAAATTTTTTAATTTTTTAATAAAAATTTATTAAAATGATATAATTTTAAAATAATTTTTCTATTAATCTTTGAAAACTAAGGTAAATAAGTATAATTTCCTTAATTAATTTGTATTATAAGAGTTTAAACATTTTGATGATAATTCAAAATAAAAAATTTTTAATTAGTGAATATTAACATGATTAGACTATTATTAACTTAGTCATATATAACTAGTGAAACTTTTAACTACACTCTTAAATATAAGTTCATAATTCAATCTTTAATTTATATTTTCAACAAAGCCTTTCCAATTGCTTTTCTTAATTGTTTAAGAAAAAAATCAATAAAGTATAATTATTACTTATGTGAATATTATACATTCAGCATTTAATAAGATAACAATTAAGTGTTATGAACTCTTTAAATACCTTAAATTAAGTCACATGTGACTTCTCACTTCTAAATAAGAAGCATTAGAGCACCAACAATCTGTTGGTCTATACATAAGGAGTTTAGTTCTCCTTAAATAAGATCTTGAATTTGAGTCTTGTAAATAAAGAATAGGTGTTGAGAGAGTTTCCTTTCAAATTGAGTTTGACGTGACTTAATTTCAGATTAATTAAAACCTAATGTGATTATCAAATATCGAGAGGTTAATACAAAAAAAAAAAAGCATTGGAGCTTATGAAGATTGAGAGAAATAATAGCACCAGAATAAAAGGATCAAATCCTCTTTTTCTTTTTCTTTTTTTCTTAATCATTTTCCTCTCCTCCACTTTGCTCTGTTAGACACGTTAGGGTGAATATAGTAAAAGAAAGGAAATAAATAATATAGTTTCTAATAATTATTTTTGTAGAATTTTTAATAATTATTAATGTTCACAAAATATCAAAACAAATATTTCTTTAACCTCCAAGCATATTTTCACATACCAAACGAGCCCTTAGGTTCTACGTTTTCGTTTGGACGGATTTGCCCTTACTCATTTTCAAATGTGATTGGATTGACACGATCTGAAACATGAATGTATTGGTCATGTCCATGACAATGATCCCGATGTACCATCAAAACAAAAACTGATGCCATGCCCCCATGTGCTCCTGCGAAATTCCAAAAAAGTCCTTACTGCAAGCAATCACGTGACGTCGATCAGAAACCCCACGACGACGGCACGAACCGACGACGCCCATGGTGGGCTATACCTATGTGGTGACACAGCACGAGGAGAAATTAAAGGCATCCCAATCCTCACAGCTAAGGTTCTCGAATCTCAATAACTGAAGATAATGATGGAAATAATTAACCTCATACTACGAAATAGTATAAGGTTTGTCTAATATATGTGTATGTATTAGGTGTCTTTTAATTTGTGTTTTTAAAATTATTTTTTTTATAATTTATATTAAAGAATATCAAAATTCATATTAATTTTAATAATATTATTAATAATGAAAAAAATATAGCATTTAAGAAAAACCCTATGTTATTAAGATATATTAATTGTATTTTATTAATAATTTATTAATTTGAGTAAATAAAATTTTATTTTTTTAATTAAATTCTCAAATTTGAATTTTATAAATAAAAAAATAAATATTG